TGCTCAATCTATGAATGGAAATGATGAGATTGGAAATCTTGATCTGGATAAGGATGTTAATGAAAAATCTGATAATGTGGTTCAGGAGAATGATGAGAATATAGAGAATAATGCCTCTGAAATTAGGAAAACTTTCATTAGCCTTTTTGCAGATAATAGAAAATCTGGTAATGGTCAATGCTTAAATTTTTTTCAATCTCCCCAAACCAATATTGTTACATTCCTAGTTGAAGAATGGAAAGAAGGGTAAGATTATTGAAAATATGCATTGATAGGTCATGTTATTGGATTGAATGTTAAATTCAAATCTATGGAATCCTATGTTAATAAACTATAGGGTAAAATTTCAATTCCGAAAGTTTCCTAAATCAAGCAAGGGGTATTCCTATTTGATTTTCAATCTGAAAAGCAAACGTGTGATGTGTTAGAGGCAGGACATTGGTTCTTTGGATCTAGACCAATGGTTCTAAAGCCATGGACTATTGATACAGATATGGAGAAAATCCAAGATTATAATTATCCAATGTGGGTTCATTCCCTAATTTGCATTTAAATCTATGGACTCCTACTGGCATTAGTAAAGTTGTAAGTCTTATTGGCAATCCAATTACAACAAATAAGCTCATAGCTACAAGACAAAGATTGAGTTATGCTAGAGTTTTATTGGAAGTGAAGCTACCCCTTAAAGAGACTTTACCTTATCAACTTACTATTCAAGGTACTGATGGCAAAAGCTATAATCAAAAAGTTTTATATGATATCAAACCTAGGTGATGCTCATTATGTAATATATTTGGTCATGAGACTGGCCATTGTGGAAGGCACGCTTTTAAAAAGAGATGGGTTCCTATCAACAGACAGAATGAAAAAGATGCACAAGACCATATTGAACATGTGCAACTTGCAAATGAGAAGAATGATAAAAGTACGCATTCTGGAAAAGATGCAAAAGTTCATCAGAAGCATGTACAACAAGGGGATGTTGAAAGTGGTGTCAATGTTAGGCAATCTGGCCAAAATGAATCAGTTTTTGAAAAACATGCACAATAAGATATTATGGTGCAGGAAATCAATTTCAGTAAAACTGGGCCTAATAATACAATCCAGTTTTCACCAACTGTTAATGCAACTATTTTCACAAGTGTAAATAGAGCAAATACAGCAAGAATAGTACATGCAAATATTATTGGACCCTCTTGTATTCAAGCTTCTCACTTCTCTCTTTTGGATCACCAGCTATCTGTTTAGACCCCTCTTGTATTGATAGGGGTGGATTTTCTTAATAATGCATCTGGTCTTCTAGAATGTCAGAGGATTTAACAAATCCTCTAAACATTTGCTTGTTAAACAATTTATTCATGGTTTCAAACTTTCTTTTTTAGCTCTCTTAGAAAATAAAGTTGATGGTAGTAAAATACGGCTCATTGCTAAGAAAATAGCCAAGGACTAGGAATGGATCTCAAACTTCCATGAAGCTAATAATGACAGAATCTGGATTTTCTAGAATAATGATTTACTCACAGTTCAGAGCATAATTTCCTCAAAGCAACATATAACTTGTTTAGTAGAATCAAAAGATGGCATGCTTTCTTGTTTAATTATAGTTGTTTATGCTTTCAATCAAGTGGAAGGCAGGAGAGTTCTCTGGCAAGACTTACTGACATTTAAACAAAATGTTAATGGTCCTTGGTTGGTTGGTGGTGATTTTAATGCTATTATCAATAATAAAGAGAAACTAGGAGGTGCACCGGTTTTTGATTCTGACACTATTGACTTCTAGAATTTCATCATCTCAAGCCAATTAATGCATCTCAGGCCAACATGTTGTTATTTTACTTGGTGCAATAAACAAGAGTCTGATACTAGAGTATGATCCTAATTAGATAGAGTTTTGGTTAATGAAGACTGGATTCATCATTATATATCTAGTCAAGTGGAATTCCTTGTGCCAAATTTGTTCTGATCACTCTCCTGCTCTTTTAACAATAGGAGAAGAAGATTTTGAGGGTAAAAAGTCATTTCAATTTTTCAATATGTGGGCTAAACATCCCGATTTTATTCCAACAGTTAAATCAGTATGGGAGCAAGACATCAGTGGTTACAATATGTATAAGTTTCACACGAAGCTCAAATACCTAAAGCATGTCCTAAAAGATTTGAATAAAAAGCACTTCATGAATATAAGTGAGCAAGTTTTAAGAGCAAAAGGGTAATTAGATGACATTCAAAAGCAACTGAATGCTGATCTTTTCAATTCAAGACTGATATCCAAGGAGAAGGAATGTATCACCAAATATGGCAGGCTGTTAAACTGTGAGATTTCTTTTTATTAACAAAAAGCTAACATCAATTAGGGTTTACATGGGGATAAATGCTCTCAGTTTTTTCACTCTATTATGAAAACCAAAAGACATCATAATAGAGTATTATCCCTATACACTAAGAATGGATCTAGGATTACTGACATGTCTGGGAGTATTGTTGAGTTCATTAATTATTACAAAAAGCTCTTGAGTACTGCTACTTCCATTACCAATCCTGATCCCGATGTGATCTCAAATGGCCCTATACTCTCTCCTAGTCAAAGTAACACTCTGAGTCTTCTTGTTACTAGGGAGAAGATCAAGCAGGCTGTTTTCTCAATGTTAGAGGGAAAAGCCCCTAGACCAGATGGTTATAATGCTGCTTTCTTCAAGTCAGCTTGGGATATCATTGGTGATGACCTCTATCTAGCTACTGAAGAATTTTTCAGTTCTGGAAAGCTTCTTGGTACGTTTAACTCTACAACCATTACTTTAATCCCTAAAATCCTCAACCCCAAAACTGCTTCTGATTTTCGGCCTATATCATGTTGTAATTTTGTTTATAAAGTTATAACAAAAATTATTGCTAGTAGAATTCAAAAAATTATAGGATACTTAATTAGCGGTGCACAGAGTGCCTTTATCAAAGGGAGGATTATTTTAAGCAATATCCTGTTAGCTCATGAGCTTATCAAACATTATGGTAGAAAGCATGTTTCACCAAGAGCTATCCTGAATGTTGATTTGCGAAAAGCATTTGACACCATCATCTGAGACTTCCTTAGATCCATGCTGGAAGGATTAAGTTTTCCTAGTAATATGAGAATGTGGATTGTGGAATGTATTTCCACCCCAAAATACTCCTTGTCTCTAAATGGTTCTTTGCATGGATATTTTCAAGGAGCAAGGGGTTTAAGACAATGTGATCCGCTTTCTCCTTATCTGTTTGTGATTGGGATGAAATATTTTTCAAGGAAACTAAATGAACTAAATAATGACAGCTTGTTTAAATTTCATCCAAAATGCTTAAGGCTGGGGATCACTCACTTGATCTTTGCTGATGACCTCCTTCTTTTTGCTAGAGCTGACATGAATTCTATAACAAGAATACATAGTTGTCTTCTTGAATTTAGTCGGGTATCAGGTTTGGAAGCTAATCCTGCAAAGTGCTCTGTATATATCAGTGGCATTGATGATAACTTGAAAACTCAAATATGCACATATCTGAACTTTTCAGAGGGGGTGCTACCAGTGCGTTACATGGGTTTGCCACTAATCTCAAAGAGATTATCATGTTTGGACTGCTCTTCTCTGATCAATAGGATTTCTGAGTAATTTCTCAACTGGCAAAAGAAGAGGTACTTGTCATATGCTGGGAGACTTCAACTGATCAAATCTGTTATATATTGGGAGTACAAATTTTTTGGACCAGTAACTATATACTGCCTATTAAGGTTCTGGAAAAAAATCGATAGCCTATGCTCAATTTTCCTCTAGAACCAGAAAATTCATCAGGTTTCTTGGGCCACCATTTGTTAGGAAAAGAAGCATAAAGGGTTGGGGTTTTTTCACCCAAGATTTGCAATAATGCAGCTGCAATTAAGCTTCTATGGATGATTCATCTTAAAAAAGATTTGCTTTGGATCAAGTGGGTTCATGGCAATTATCTATAATAGTCTGATATATGGCAGGTTCAAGCTAAGTTGAATGGCTCTTGGATGTGGAGATAACTTCTTAGAGTAAGATATGGTGAGAATTAAATTTGGCAGTACGGACAATCTAACTAATATCATGAACAACTGCTACAAAAGGGTAAAATTCAAATTTCCTCTATTTACAATGTGTTAAATGTTTCAGCATCCCGAGCTCCTTGGTCTGAAACAATTTGAGAGGGATTGAATTATCCTAAACAGTCATTTATACTATGGTTAGTCACTCATTCTAGGCTATTAACTCAGGACAGATTATGCTGAATGAGGATTCTTGACACAAATCAATGTGTCTTATGTTCTAATCATCAAATGGAAACCTGTCAGCATCTTTTCTTTGAATGTCAGTATTCAGCTCATGTTGGGAACAAAGTGATGAATTGGCTGAGCTATGTTTGGAGGTCTTGCAACTGGAATCTTATAATCAATTGGTATAGCTTCAACCTTAAGGGAGTTCGTTTATGAAAAAGCTTAAGAGAATAATGGATTTATCTGTCACAGTCTACTTGATATGGCAGGAAATGAATTTGAGAATATTTCAACGCAAAACTCGGGACCCCAAACTCCTCTTTCGTGCAATGAAAACTTCCATTTATTCCAAGGTCTTGAATAAAAGAATTCATTTACATTTGAAAGAGAAACTTGAGAATATGTAATATGTAATCTCTGTGATAGTGGGTTTCCAGGCATTGCACTGGAAGTTTTGACGTACTACATAACTTCATATTTGGTAAATGAATAAAATTTATTTCATTGATCAAAAAATAATAAATAGATGTGATTAAAGCTAGTGGCCCCTCTACTACTTTCTTTTAGAGGAGACGATTCAAATCCTTGTACCACATTATAATATATTAATCTAATCTTGTTTCCTAACATAATTATGTGCAAAGAAAATTGAGAACTGATTTCAATTTAAATGCTGAAGTAGTAACTATGATGATTTAAAAGGCAATTTTAAGTTGTCCTACAACTTGAAAGATACGCGTGAATATATAAATAAAAAGGATATTACTAGCTCACACAAATTATACACATACTTCTTATTGTATCTTATTTCATAGTATATATCATGATCAAATCTCAGACTACATTTCATCCAAAAGCTTATAAAACAATCTCTCAAATTTTTCCATGTCACCCTTCGGAAGTGAAATCAGCACATTCACCCCTTTATCTGCACCTTCTATGCGTGGGAAAAGCAACACAATATCTCTGCACGGATGCGTCACGGGACACGAATATATCGGCTTCCCCCATGGATACTCAACCTCCGCAAACCCTAATTTCCACCAAGAAGTCACAAACACATCGCCGTAAGGAAACCCTTTATACAACTCCCCCCAGTCGATTACTGATCGAATATATTCGTCGGTCATCCTAGTCGCTCCCTCTCTAACCATCCCGACAATTCGCGACAACGAGCTATTTGCGAGCTCGTAACAAGTCGCCCTAGCATACGCGCTTGACACTGCGTTCCCCGTGTAGGATACTGGGAGAGGAGGATCGAACCTCCTCCTGATATCTACAGCGTAAAGGACAGTTGATACTTTGTTAACGTCGTGAGCTTCGTTTGTCGCCAATGCTTTGCAGCGCCATAAATGCGCGATAACGACATTGAAGCTGGTTACCGCGCGGGGATCCAGTTCTTCGCCGCGATTCATTTTGGCCTTCTCTTTGAGGGTCGAAATGTTGTTGGTGTCGAGGTGAAAGAGCTTGAACTCTAGGGTCTCCTCAAGGGGGTCGAGCATTGTGGTATGAGGAGTGGGGAGCGTCTCTAGCTTGAGGAACTCGGGGTGCGAGAACGTGACACGCGGTGGAGATCGGGCGGCTAGGAGACGGCGGTCGTTCAAAGGGGGGAAGGGCAGGGGTCTGTTGAAGGCGAGGGCGGCGAGCCGCCGCATTTGAATGATGTTACCTGTAAAATTAATGAAATTATTTGTCAAATTATACTGTCGATCAAAAACTTTGACAATATATGGTAATGATTTTATTAGATTAAAGAAATTAGTTTTAAAGCTGTCATGGTGGAGATCAGTCTATTTTCCCCTTGTAATCTAGAGAAGTCCAAAATTAATTATCCCAATTGATAAAGGTTTAAAGATAATAATTACGTAGAAGAAATTAACGTAATTAGCTTATTAGTTCACCAATTAAAGAGTTAAATTGGCTAACTTGTTTATAAACTTTTTAATCCTTATAATCTTTTCTAGTGTTTTGGAAATAAGAATGAGCAATCTGTTATCCCTTCTTCCTTTCTATATGGCGGGGTTATCTCTCACCCAACAAATTAAGTAGAGAGGCTATCTCTTGAAGGGTTAAACACATTTCTACCTTGTTTAAAAATCCAATTTACATGCGTTCTACTAGTAAGTTTAGATTAGTTAAACTGCAGAACGAGTCAATATGTGGAAAATATTTTTTTTATAATGAAGCTATCGGAAATTAAACACAATACTGTAAGGGCGCGTTTGTTTGGGATGGAGGCTTGGTGAAAGCCTGACAAAAACCACTGTTTTTGTCAGGCTTTCAGCCAAAAACGCCTCTTAAAAAATATGTAAAAAATATTTTACAAACCAAATGGACCCTCTTAAAGAGGCGTTTTTGGCTAAAAGCCTGACAAAAACAGTGTTTTTGTCAGGCTTTCACCCGCCTCTTTTGCAAACCAAATGGACCCTAAGTTGAAACCTTTCAACGATCAGAGTCACCCATGGTGTTCAATATGTAAAAAATATTGAATTAGTACAAATAATATAAAAGAACTAGGAATCCTATCAGAACACCTCACCACGTGGGGTACTGTGATAGCTCAAGGGGGGCATTAAAATACCATCACTGTCTCTCGTCTCCTGAGTCACATGGCCCAGAACGCCCCGCACGGTGCAAGCGATTCCGCCTGCTGGGCGTTATGAGAGAATGCGTTTCACTATTTTTGCTAACATATCAGGCCACAGAGTTAATACCCTCAAATCCAATCTCTTTTACCTCGGTAAATCTCCCCATAAAGGTAAGACGCTAGCTGAGATCCTCAGTTGCTCTGTTGGCTCTCTCCCTTTTTCATACTTGGGCCTTCCTCTCAAAAGAGGATCACTCTCCAAAAAAGAGTGGCAACCTCTTCTAGAATCTTTTAAAAAGAAACTCTCGTTATGGAAGAACAAGTCCCTCTCTATCGGTGGAAGGCTAACTCTTCTCAATTCAGTTTTATCTTCTCTCCCCCTCTACTATATGTCCTTCTTCAAGTTGCCGAAATGGTTAATCAAGGCTATAGATAGAATCAGAAGAAATTTCCTTTGGAACGGTAGCCAATCTCAATCGAACATCAAATGCCTTATCAAATGGGGAAAAGTCTGTAAGTCCAAGGCTGAAGGAGGGCTTGGGGTTATAGACACTGAAAACTTCAACATAGCTCTCCTCTCTAAATGGTTATGGAGAATTTTTGACAGAAATTCTTTAATAAGCAAAGTGTTTTTCTCTGTCTACTCAAAAGATGATTCTAACCCTTTTGCTCATCCACCTAAGTGCTCGGCGTCAAGGTTCTGCAAAGATCTATCCTCCATCAAATCCACCTTCTTCAACCTGATTAAGTGGAACATCGGGGACGGCAAAGCTGGTAGTTTCTGGCATGATAAATGGATTGCGCAAAACTCCCTCTGTAGTCTATTTCCAAAAGCATATCATCTTGCTCTTTCTCAGAACTGCAGCATCAGATCTCAAGGCAGATTTCTAAACAACGTCTGGATTTGGCATCCTCTTATCAGAAGAGGAATTTCTCCATCAGAAAGGTTAGACAAGCATCACCTTCTTACCCTTCTAGCATCCTCCAACCTCAGTATCTCCCCAACTCCAGATAAGCTCTGGTGGCCACACAATCCATCGGGAACTTACTCAGTTAAGTCCCTCTATTCCTTCGTCAACTCTGGAGGTATTAAATCTAAATTTTTTAGTATGATCTGGAAAACTTCTATTCCTATCAAGGTCAAAGTTCTTTCCTGGATCATCTCAAACAAGAAGTTGAACACCAAGGCAAATTTGATCATTAAGGGCTGGACTGGGGACCCGAGGTGTTCTTTCCGTTTAACTGGTGTAGAAACTCATGTTCATCTTTTTATTGAATGCCCTTTTGCTCGCACTATCTGGTCCTCTATCTTACCCTCTCTCTCACCAAATAGTTGGCCTCAGTCTATGGAAGAGCTTTTTGAGTTCCATAAATCTCCCAATCTTTGCAAGGATATCAGAACTATTTGGAAGATACTGCTACCATGCACCTGTTGGTGGATCTGGTTTAGTAGAAACTCTCTAATTTTTAAGGATAGCCAATCTAATCCTGCTATCATTGCCTCTAATATTGGGAGATATACAATATTTTGGGCAGGTGCCGCTAGGGAGAGGTTGGCAAGGAGTCTCCGTAGAGCTGCCATCAACATTGGTCTACAGGAGCTAGCAAAGAATAACGCAGATGCTTCTGGGGATCACTTTTCCCCAAGTCCACCCATTGGTCTACAGGAGCTAGCAAAGAATAACGCAGATGCTTCTGGGGATCACTTTTCCCCAAGTCCACCAACTCAAGCTTCTCCATAAACTCTGTTAGATGGTTACTCCCTTTTGTATTGGAAAAACTGATGAGACTTTCTATCTTTTCCTTAATCTCTATGTGCTCTAGTGATGTTTATGTATCCCTTGTATGTAAGTATGTAATATGGGTCTGATAGCTGTAGAGTCGCTGAGGGTCTGCTTTACCCCTTGCGAGTCTACAACTAGCTGTGATGTACTTTGTTTTGGTTTGCAATAAGATTCTCAAATGAACAGGGTTTTCACCCTGTTTTTTCAGTCAAAAAAAAAAAATTATAAAAGACTTGGTACAACTTAAAATTTATGACGAAACACGTACGCATAAATTTGTTCTAATTATTTTTCCATATACAGAAGTCCGTATATAACATTTTTTAGCACGTGGGCCCAGTGGAAAACTTAAAAATCGTCGTCACGCGTAATTAATAATAAAAGAAAAGGAAATATATATGGTGTCGTGGAGTCGAGGAACAATCTATCTACTTTGTTTTTCTGCCGTGGACGCAATTATGTCCTCGTGCGCACAGCCTAATTCGATCCGTGCCCCAGCCAGGAGTAAATTCGAGCCTACTTTGTACCAATGCGCCTTGACGCTATTGCAAAAAGACAACAAGATATTTTTCCGTGGGTATATTTCACAAAGACCCCTTTTAAGGTTGGGCATTTCTCCAATTACTTCTCTTAACTTTCAAAATGTCGCAGAACCTCTTTTAAATTTTGTCAGAAATTTACGCTCCAAAGTAACGGTTGCCGGGATCTTTGAAACCCCCTCAAATGTGGGAGTTTCTGAGATATTTTGAAAAACATTAAACTATATAGGAGGGGTTTTCCTGGGAACCCCAAAACTTAATGGGGGGTTTTTGACGCTTTGAAAGTTATGGGAGTTATCTGAGAAATGCCTAAAGTTAAGAGGGATATCATCAAATTACCCTTTGCCCTGAACCTTTGTGAAGTACACCACCTAGTTGGGGTCACGCCTGAAGTACAACTTACATAAAGCCTACCTAGCTCCATGCTAACAGTAAATAATTTACTCTCCAAAAAACACTTTAGGATGCTAGAGTATAAGCTCGTAACAATTGATTACAGTGCACATAGCTCTAAGCATACAGCGTAGACTGAAGTTTTCTAATTTTATATTCTAATATGTTTTTGCAGGGAAATCTAGACGACAAATATATTTTGAGAGAATACATTAAGGGCCTGTTTGTTTCGCAAAAAAAGACCGAAATTGAAGGAAAGTGGGGGAAAAGAAAGTGAATTTTGATGTTTTCCTCCACTTTCAGAGGTTTGGTTCGTCAAAGCTATAACCGAAAGTGGGGATGAAAATGAGTTGTCACCATATTATTGGTTGATGTGAGTAGTTGTTGATGTTTTCCTTCACTTTCCTTGTTTAGGTTCTTTTCTTGTGTTTGGTTCATTCTTAAAAGTGGGGGAAAATAGATGAGATGAGATGAGTTGTCATTATATTATTGGATGATGTGACACATACTTAGGAAAATCAATTTCCTTGTTTTTTTTATGTAAAGTGATGGAAAGAAATTTTAATGAGATGTGATGAGTTGTCATCATATTATTGGATGATGTGAATAATTTTTAAAGATGATAGAAAATGAAGTAAAGTGAGGGAAAGTGAGTTAGATGAGTTGATTGATGTGACTCATTTCTTGTGTTTTGTTTATTTTTAAGATGAGTTGATTGATGTGACTCATTTCTTGTGTTTTGTTTATTTTTAAAAGTATGAAATGAGATGTGATGAGATGAGTTGTCAGTTTTGTTTATTTTTAAAAGTATGAAATGAGATGTGATGAGATGAGTTGTCACAATATTATTGGAGGAAAGTGGAGAAAGTAAAGAAAAGTGGGTTTTGGAAAGTGGGGGAAAGTGAAAAAATGAAGGAAAGTGGGTTTTGGATTCTGGGGGAAACGAAACAAACAGCCCCTAACTAGGAAATTATCTGCAAAATATAAATGAAAATAACTTGAATTACTATATATAATGATATTCCATTTTCAAATCCCTATTAAAACATTTTTGATGATATTTCAACCTAGATGGCATTTCAACCTAGCTAGAACGCTCTGATACCAACTTAAATTTCATTTTAATTAAACCGTAGCGAAACTTTGGAATTGCAGTGAGTGTTTAGTGTGGGTTTACCTGAAAAGCACAGAGCAGCCGGTCCTCCAGTCCACGACCACTGGCGGCCTCCGTCATAGTCACCAGCTGTCGAAACGCCGGGTTTGGGTACTCGAGATCACCCCCAACTCAGCCAATTCGAGCTCACACTTAGCCACAACAAACGTAACTCCGGCTGCATTGCAGTCAATCTCCAACCTCCCCTTACTCTCATCCAGCCTCAGCCTTCCCGCAAGAAAATCGTACGGCACGAGCACTCTCTCCACCGCCGATCGCAATGTAGCGATGACCGACTCGATCGGATGTTCAGCATTGGCATTGAAGAAATGAACAGTCTCAACACTAAAGTTTAAGACTTGGTCTATGTTTGACAGGAACATGTACCTCCTCTCAGTAGGCTCGGAGGGACGGAGGGTTGCGGTGCTTAGTCTAGTAACGTTAAGGTCCTGAGAGCGTCTCATTTTGATTTTTATTTTTTGGTTGATTTTTTTTGTGTAATTTGATCTTGAGGGAAGTGGGGTTATTTATAGTAGAGCGTTAAGAGGTCAGTAGATAGAATTTAAATGGCAGTTGGTAGACTTCACACAAAAGAGTTAATAGGGTAGATGAAAGTAATAAAGGGCAAGTGACAACAATCACATGTATGAAGGGGGTGGAATTCTTGTGGGTTGATGAGTGTGGTGTTGGTTGTTGGATATGGGTCCGGACATTAAATCTGGGGTATTATAGGGTAGTACCATGTTATATATTATCACTTTTGACAAGAAAAATACTAAATAAGTACACTACAGAAGTTAGTCATAAGAAAAGTGGAGTATGTTAGTATGTAGTCCGTATAATAGCTCTTGTTTAAGTAATATCAATTTTTCCTTCCTACTTGTTGAAGGTGATTAAAGTTGTATTTTTTAATCATAATGAAAGAATTGTCGATTTACTACCATGCTTTTAATGGCAAATTCATCTATGATTGTCTACTCCACATCCAATCAGGTTGGTTGCAAAGAAAATCAATCAAAGAACATTGAGAGGGATTACGTCTGTATATTCTTAAATCTCACAAGATATGAATCCTTAAAAAATTAAGAGAAAATATAGAAATACACATAATTACAGCAAAGAATATCAAAAATAGAATTCCCAAATTTTTTCTACCTAAATTATTCATGGTCTCATATCACTTATAAAAGGAGCTAAAAAAAACCGTAGCCGTCATACTTGAAACGACTCTCCAGCAGCAAGAAAAAAAAAAGGACGGCGGAGATTCGCTGTGCACACCCACTCCCAGCAAAAAAATATGGGTATGCTTGGTACTAAGCACAAATTTTGTGCTTGATAGTGAGGTGGCATAACCCCCTCCGCTCATTCAAATGGGGGATCACATTCACATGGGTTGAGAAGTGCATGAGGATATGCAACCATTTGAATGAGTGGAGGAAATTATGCCACCTCACTACCAAGCATAACATTTTATGCTTGGTACCAAGCATACTCATTTTTTTCATATTATATTAATATATATATATATATATATATATAATATATATATATATATATATATATATATATATATATATATATAATATATATTATATATATATATATATATATATATATATATATATATATATATATATATGAGAAAATGGGTATCGAATGGTATCAAGCACAAATTTTTGCCTAGGTAGTGAGGTGTGCTATTTCGGTCCACTCATTCCAATTCCCAAACCACTTCCCAACCCATATGAATGTGGGCCCCGATTTTAATGAGTGGAGGAGATAATACCACCTCACTACTAAGCACAATAACTTATCCTTGATACAAGCATACCAATTTCTCACTCACTCTCTCTCTTCTATATATATATATATATATATATATATATATGGCGAGAAATATGTGTATACTTCGGTAAGTAGGTGACACATCCCCTCCCACTCATTCAAATAGGGCGGACCACATTCACGATGAGTTGAGGAGTGTATTGAGATATGATAAACTATTGAGATGAATGGAGCGATTATGCCACCTCACTACAAGCCATAAATTTTATATGCTTGCGTAACAAAACGGCAACCATTCGAATTGAAGTGGAGGGGATTATTGCCAACCGTCCACTACCAAGCATACCATTTCTCTCTCTCTACTCTCTCATCTCTCTCTCTCTATATATATACTATATATATATATATATATATATATATATATATATAATATATATATAGTATATATTATATATACTATATTGATATATATATATATATATATATATATTATATATTATCCCTCCACCAACTCTAAAAAGAAAGCAAAAAAAAGGAAAATTATGTCAAGGCCCCAAAAGAAAAAAAACTTCATGTGCTGCAGCTCCCTTGATTTTTTTCCCCATGCGTTTTAGCCCTTAAATTGGAGATTCATGTTCTGCAGCCCTTCTTTAGCAATTATTACCTGCCAACTAAGCATAGAGAGAGAATAAAAAATAAAAAACTTCTCAAATGCCCTTATCTCTTCTATTCTTTTTTGTTAAGTCTAAAAGCAAGTTAAATTAGACTTAACAGGAAAGTCTAATATCATGTTAAGTTTAATTTATTTTTTTAAGTCTAATTTAATTCCTTTTAAGTCTGATTTAAATCATTTCATGTCTAATTTAACTTATTTTATGTCTAATTTAATTCGTGTTAAGTTTAATTCAACTTGTTTTAAGTCTAATTTCATGTTAAATCTAATTTAATCATGTTAAGTCTAATTTAATTCCTTTGAAGTCTAATTTTGTTATGGGGTGTTCCCTGTTCCCCACAAATATGCTATCCCGAGAGCAGGTTCGGTCGAGTCGACTTCATTCCAAGACGACTCAAAGGGCGGACTCAACCGACACTTTTCTGAAGGGCGACTCAGAATTTTATTTCTCAGTATTATTTGACCTTTTATGACTACAGAAGTGACTCCACGTACGTCACTTGCCGATAGGCCTCAACGGCTGCTGGGTTTCCATAACACAGAAGTGACTCCACATCACTTGCCGACAGGCCTCAACGCCTGCTGGGTCCCAATAACATAGAAGTGACTCCACGTCACTCGCCGACAAGCCTCGACGGCTGTTGGATCCCCATATCGTGAAAGTGACTCCGTGTCACTCCTTAACAGGTCTCAACGGCTGCTGGTTCCCTATGTCACCGAAGTGACCTCCCATCACTTACCAATCGACATGTATCAGGCAAAGGATGAATCAGCCTCTAACTCATCCCTCACCATCATCATGAACCGCACTCTCACAAAGTGCCGATCCTGTCCCTGGCGTCCTCTATAAGTAAAAAAGCTATTCACCACAGGAAGAGGTTCGATTTTCTGACCACCTACAAAAATTCTCTAATCACATATTAGAAGGGGAGACTATTCTTCTATTACTGGACCCAAATCCACCAACTGACTTGATCATCGGAGGTACCACAGGGGAAACTAGCCCCTACTCCCACGATTATTATGTATGCAGGTGATTCGCCCACTCCAAGCTCTGAGAACTAGGCATAACGTCGAAGAAGGAAAGCGGCCCCCTCTCGATGATTCAACATCTCTACGATTCAACAACTCGACAACCCCCATCGACTGTTTGTTCACGAACATCAACAAATTTAAATCATGTTATATCTATTTTAACTTGTTTTAAGTCTAATTCAATTGGATTTAACATGAAATTAGACTTAAAAAAGTTGTATTAGACTTAACATGATTTAAATTAGACTTAAAAAGAATTTAACATAATTAAAATTAGAGTTAAAATAAGTTTAAATAGACTTAACATGATTTATGTTAAGTCTAATTCAACTTATTTTTAGACTTAAAATAAGTTGAATTAGACATAACATGATATAAATTAGACTTAAAAGAAATTAAATTAGACTTAATATGAACCGTATTAGACTTAACATGAACCAAATTGGACTTAACATGAATCAAATTAGACTTATGACTGAAGAACCACCAAAGTCCCACCGGTGAAAAAGCGCTTGGGTCCGGTGGTCAAAACCTAAGAAGCTCCACAGACTGGGGGTCGTACATACACTCCTATCAAGCCAACTATTGCTCAAAGGTGTCCTGCCACCTCCAAACAAATCGGGACACCTCAATGTACTTGTTCGTGTGTCGTGCATAAGAAAGTCTAGGAGGCCTCCCCTTCTGGGAGAATTCCTGTCACCTCCCACCTGGGGGTACATGTTGAAGCCCAGGAGTCCATTAAGACTCCACACTCGTAAGGGGATGGTTCTTAATGTACGACTCCTGACATGATCTTAGATCATTCAAAGGTGATAACAAGTCATCCTGAGAATGTCAATAAGGCTCTACATCCCCAAAAAAAAGATGTGTCCACCAAAAGACAACGTTATACTTGGGAAGTCACAGCAACAAATGATAGGGTGATCCGATCATCATACTGATGAGTTGTTCTATCAGATTAGGGGTGTGAATAAGAATTGAAAGAGAGCTATTCAAGAAACAAGCTCTCATTGTTTGTGTGAGAGGTTCATTAGAGCAGTACTTTCAGAATGTAGCTGCTCCAAGTGAGAAACCATCCCGCAAAGAGTCTCAGTGTTCCTAAGACTTTCAACATCATCAACTGAAGCATCAAAGCCTAAACCAAGATGCTTCTGAAGAAGAAGATCTTCTATCCAAGACGATGAGTTTCCTGAGATCATCATCAATATGGCCAGCAAAGAAAAGGGGATGTCTAGGCGACATTCAAATGACTCCGATCCTAACTTTACCCCAGAGGGAAGAGTCGATCCATGAATCTCCCAAAGAATGTCTCGGCTCCAACTAAGAGCTACCCAGCGAAGAGACTAAAGGAGAATGTATGAAGGAACATCTTCAGAGGATGAACTTTTAGACACTTGCTCCGTAATTTCTTCTGATAATACAATGTCAAGCATGGGGCAAGGTAGAGAAGTGTTCACCATCACTCCTGACGTTATGGCCCAAATGCTTCAAGAAGCTCTAGCTAAGAAACATGAAGATATTAGAGCCGATATGAAGATAGAGATGGAGTTGACCATGCAGCAAATGAGAGAATTGCATGCTAAACAACCGCAACCATAACCTAAGCCAAGTCAACGGGCTGAGTCCAGTAGTCGCAATACCACACCCGTTCAAGCTAATATGGAAGACAATGACTCAGATGTGGACAAAACTATCAATGCCGATACTCCTCCTAATAACAATAACACTGGGGGTTATCCAATCGATCCTCCTTAACATCCCCCAAGGAAAGAAGAGGGTGAAGATAAGAAGATGATGAAAGAGACCGAGAGCAAGGTTAATGCATTGATGTCCACTCAGGAGGTCAAGAAGACCGACATCTCGTGCCCTTACCCAAAGAAATGGGAGTCAATTCAGTACCTGGTAAAGTTTAATCTAATTAATTTCATGTCGTTTAACGGGAGAGGCTCGCCAACCCAGCACCTGATCTACTTTAAATCCTATTTGGGTATGATCTTTGGG